TACTTTTTTCTGAGGTTACAATACAAAACAGCATTTTCTCATTTTGACTAATTTTTAATAATATGTAATAGCCGTAGAAAAAATATAATGTTCAACTCATAAGGGTAGATTTGCAGTATTAGCCTGCGCACATGCTATTTTTATAATACTCGTAGACAATGAGTAACATTTTTTGCTCTATTAACAATATATTCTATTTCAACATTTTACTGTAATCTCTTGCAGAAAAGTCCGTAGTAAATAAACGCTAACGAAATATTCTATAAAAAGTCTTCTCTTTACATAAAATGTCGTGGCATCTGTTTGATATTAAAAAATCATGTTAATTTTATTTCATAATACAAAATTCGATTAAACACCTTTTAAATAAACCTAATAGTTCATTATGATGCTAATAAACAAAGTCCGGTCCCTGTCACAGAGTTCGGGTCGCCGCGTGTCGCCGCCCAGTTCCCCCACTCCGTTAACCCTTCTTTAGAAATTGGCAACATTTGCGCAGGTTTAAAACCGGTGTATGTTATATCTCTGGTCTCTTTTATCTAAGATTTTTATATAGCTTATAAAAATTTAAGCAATATGTATTGTGTCCTTCACTAGTCATATTACAAGTTTATTGTCACTTCAGCCATGATGAAATATTTGCTGAAGAAAGATAATCACAAACAAACTCTTTCTATGTACCATACTGGTAACATTAATTTAAGACTTTGAATGTATATTGTTAAACTAGACCTTTGGATATTCGGTGAAATAACTTATGAAACAAATTTTAATTTTTTTTGCATTAAAAAAAAATATCAAATATCAAAATATCGATACCTTTTTGCCAGACTGACATAAGTGACATTTGTTTAAATGGCACTTACGATAGTCTGGCAAAAAGGTATAGATATAGTGAATTGTGTAAAGAAACAATAGTAATTTATTAAATTGTATTTTACTGACTTGTTATAAGACGTTTCTTTAGTTTTGTGCAAAATATAGAATTACCGCAAAATTAGCGGTACGTCGCATCAAAAGGATAGCCATGGTCTCGGCGTTCGCTATCCGACAAGTTTAAACTTCAAACGGTCATATTATTACAAATTGAATCGCTTGATAGTGTTCATCGGCATAGATTTTTAATAACCGTATTCAGCAAGCTCTGTGTACACGTGGTTTTTCAGACTTCTTCAGTAATTTATTTAGTAAGTACGTTCCTAAATTAAGAAAATTCTATCACTGTGTTCTTTTAAATGGTGAGAAATTTAGTTGAGTCGAACAACGATTTGTCGATTCATTCAAAGAAAGAGAAAAAATTGGGAAAACATTTCAAAAAAAATTTGGCCACGTTTTCGCGAACTATTGCAGATTTGCAATGCGACCTATGACATTCGAAATATAACCGAAAATTAAACATTTTTTGTACTTAGAAAATTGCTCGTAAAACGAGTGGTTTTCTCTTAAATCCAACATTTTCCCTTTTTTTTTCGAGAAAAACCCAGATAGCACAGGACGTCCCATGGACGTCCTGATTTGGTCCCTTGTTGGTCCGGTTGGTGTCGGACCTAAATAGGACGTCCACTGGACTTCCGATTACAGTGAACACTAGGACGTCCTTCGGACGTCCTTTATGTCCCTGAAGGACGTCTTTTAGACGTCCATAAGACGTCCGTGTGCTATGTGGGAACAAGCACACTGTCGATTTTTTCGTAATTTGGGCACTTTACAGACTGAAAATATATAAGAATCAGTAAGTTTAATGAGAAACAAGCTTACTTTCTCTCCCAATTGCCAGAAAACGCCCCTTTTCTCGAGAAAATTCGAGTAGCTTCAATTCTCGCGGAATTACCGATCTTTGCACACGTGCGCTTAGAAAACAGTGGATGCTAGAAAAAATGTATATGCCACAGTTTTTCTTGTCTTTTTTCTCTTTCATCTGATGAAAACAGTTTTCTATTCAGATAATTAGTTTTCGAGTTATTTAAGAAAAAAGTACGAGAAATCAAGAAAAAATTGTTTTGTAATTTTTTCAAAAAGTATTGCAGATTTCGCCACCCAACCCGTCTCATTCGAAACGTAACTAGAAAATACGTATTTTTGTCATGCATATATATCTTCTCCCATTTCAAGTTTTCTTGTAAATAATAATAATAACCAAGTTGGAACTTACACTTGGGCTTTGGATTAAATTTCCTAACATTTTTAAAGTATACGTTTTTGTGTATTTTTTGTGCTCTTTCCGATGCCGAAGTTAGTTTTTTCAGATATATTTTTTTGTTAGATGTTTTCGGAAAACCCGGAGAAAATCATATGGTGAAAAAAACTAAAAAAAAAAACTACGCCTTCCGGTTTCCTGCAAATTTCCGAAAAATTATGACTGATTTCGCCGCGGGACTTATTTTATTTGAGAGCCAACAAAAAAATACGCAACTTCTTTTATGGGCACATATGTCTAACATTTATAATTTCGCCACAAATTCATCGCAAATTTCATGTCCATGGTTCTGATCAAAGAAACGAAAAAACAACTTTTTGATAATTAGCATTTTTACCATGGAAAATTCCGGAAAACCCGGTTTTTCCTAATTTAAAAAAAATTGAACAATTGGTTTTTTTCGGAAAGATCACATCAAAATACATAAGGTCCACTTTGTTTCATCCAATTAAAAATTAATGTAAGCTCGAAGGGCCTTTTTTCGTTATTTAATTGGACTATAAAGGTGTATACTAAAATTTTTAAGATTGGTGTAACTCGTTTACAGAAAATGTACCTTTGGCATATTTTAATGAACTTAGCCATAAATATAAAGCATCGTTTCTATGGACTTTCTACTCCTTACTAAGAAGCATACTCAACATAAATAATGGAATTAATATAAAAAAATATTCAAAATTACGTGCGTTCTATCTATCTGAATTAGGGCGTAGTTCAAAGCCCACTTGTACTGAAGCTCTAGGCTTATTGTACCCCTCACAGTTTCTATCCCATCAGATTGATTTTCTTGATGAATTCAAGAATATGTCTGATAGGCGCTTACGCGATTTCTTCAGGTTCCGGATATTGTACCCCGAAGTACCATTCCCGTTCCCATTTAAGGTTCCGGCTATGGCATAGTATGTGAATAGGAGTGTCGTCCTCCTCTTCACATATTCTACATAGGGAGTCATCAGATATCCCTAAGAGATTTAGGTGTCTTCTAAGGCCGCAGTGTCCCGTAAGGAGCCCTATTACGGCCTTGAGTTCGCGTTTCTTAAGCGTCAATCAGAGAAACATATAGCTAAAAAGGCAAGAACATTTACTCCAGAACAACTTAATAATTTCATAAATAAAGCTCCTGATGAGAAATATCTGGCGACAAAGGTAATAGTATTTACAAAGATTCAAACGTTTTTATCATCTAGTCAATTATATAATTCTTTCTCGATACTTGTATCTTAGAATTTATTGCTATAGTCGTAGATAAAGTATAGTATTCAACTTGCGGTAATGGTCATAACCGCTCGTTAAATAATATACTATTAAAAACTGTGATAAATTTATTTAATTTTTTATTATTATTATTATTATTACGATACCGCTGGCCACTATGCATCTCTGGTTATATCTGGTATTGCTTCTAGTTGAAGCGTTGTCGGCGAAAATAGAAATACGGGGCAAGTGTGAATCTGCTGTGGTCGCTGTATGTCGTTTTTTCGAGATCAAAAGCATGCCGCGGCCACCTGCTACCTTTAAACGGCGTCTCTACAGGGCACTATCAATACCAAGCCATACCAAGAGTATATTGGTTTCGCCTAGTGAATATATAATGCCAATATAAGGGTAAATACTTATATATGTAAGCATTTGAAACTTGTGGAGCAAAAGTGGTCCAATTGTGAGGATTTAGTATTAAGCTAATTCATCAAAATTAGGTATATTTGGCAAATTATGAAAGTAACAACTCTTAAATTTTAGTTGATTTTTTTTGTTAAAAGCACTACTAACAAAATATGGGACCACCATTGACGCGGTATTTTCCAGATATTTAGAGGATATCAAGTCACAAACTTATGTTTCTTATTTCAGTTACCATAAACCTATAGGTTCAATAATAAAAATTGCTGAATAACCTACATGTATTGTAGGATAATAAAAATATTTTAAACAATATTAACTTCTCACTTATTCAATAAAAGAAAAAAAATTGTTTTCTTATCGGTCACCACGCTCAAAAAGTGTAACTTGAATTAATATCAAAGAAAAAACTTGAATTAATATCAAAGAAAAAAAAGTACTGCATAAATAAAATAAATAAATAATTATAATTGCACAAGTTGATAAAAAATGCTATGCAATAGCTTTACCGCGGTAGTCCCCGAGTGCCACACGTATTTTTTTTTTTATTATATGAAGATTATTTTGTACCTATGTACTTACCGTGATAAGACGACAAAATTAAAAACGTTCTGTTGCAATAAACCCTGTCAAAAATGCCTGCTGTCGAACGGACAAGCTACAGGTACTGTTTTTAAGATGCATCAAATAAACTAAAGTTTTTCTTTTAATAAAACAACGATTAAAATACAAACATTTATTAAAAAATTAAAAGTAAAAACACTAATACTGAACCATATTTAATTATCTAAAAATTAAAACTAAGATCCTTAAAAAGATAAACTTATAATATGTATCACATAAATTGATAATTACATTTATTGTGTTACCTGCTTGAATTTATTTATTACCAGAAACAAATTCGGTACCCTACTAGAGTCTACGTCCCAACCGCAACTTGGGTACCCACGGTGTTGCCAAATGCCAATACGTCAATTTGTAAATTAAATTTGTTTGGTTATGTTTTGTTAAACTTAGTATTTGTACATCCTTCATGTGATAAAAGTGAAATACGAGAAATTCAACATGGAATTTGTTTGTGATGAATGCAAACATACTTTTAAGCTTAACGTGAGTGAAATCCTCTTCCCGGCCAACTGACACAGATCAAAGAATAGGCATTCTTGCTTCTCAGCTTAATATCGCTACTTATACCAAATAAACTTAAGTACCTATTGATTTTTTTAATAAACAACAATTAATTAAATTGCATATTATTCTGAAATATGTTCACAAATATTGGTAAAAGTATCTTTTGTATTGCCACCATATATTTCGTACCACATGAAATGGTCTATAACCGATTGTACAATCTATTTTTCTATGATACAATGAGAAACAACACAGCCGAAGTAAATAACAAATGTAACTTACAAATTAACGCATTGGCATTTGGCAACACCGCGGGAACCCGAGTTGCGGTTGGGACGTAGACAAAACTGGTACCCTCGCAGTGTACACTAAAGAATAATATAATTTTAACTTGAGAAAAAAAATTCAACTAGTAGATGATGGAAAAAAAAATAAAGATTCAGAAAAAATAAACCTTTAATTGTAAATTTGAAAAATAAAGATAAATTCTCGATACGAGACTTTTTCATTACTTCTATCGGCCGATATATCGTCGTTAACGATATCGTTACAGCGTATAAGCCTATATGCTTATTATCGTCATACGCCGTTTTCTAGTTATAAACCGATTATCGCCGTAAATCGAATATCGTTACAAGACTATTATCGTCATATGCGGTTTTAAAAATTTAAAAATAATCACTATTAACAGATGAAAAACAATATTTCACAAAAACTTTTTTTTTTAATGATAAACAAAAAATCTCGTTATGGGACAATTTTATTAAGGACCGATATGCCGTTATATCTGCATTTGTGATATCGGTATCGCGTATAGGCCGATTATCGTTATAATTCGATTGTCGTTATAAGTCAATTATCGTTATAAACAGATTATTTTAAGCCGATTATAACTATATGCCGATTACTGTTATATGCCAATTATCGTCATAGACCGATTATCGATATAATTCAGGATTTTAACTTTTAAAATAAAAAATACACTGGTAACAAATTTCGATAAATATATTTTTATTACTTCCATCGGCTGGTATACCGATATATCGGCGTATGATATTGGTATTGCGTATAAGTCGATTATCTATATAATTCTATTATCATTATAAGTCGATCATCGTTATAAACATATAGTTTTAAAATAAAAATATATACTCGTAATAGATGAAAAACAAAAAGACCGACCACAAAAATGTAAATGTTTAATTTCAAATATCGGCGATTACAATATCGATGTCGTATACGCTGATTATCGTTACAGATTATTGTTTAAGGCCGATTATCGCTAGTACAATTTTCGTTGAAGGCCGATTACCGATATCATTCAAAATTTTAATTTTCAAATTAAAAACTCACTAGTAAGAATAATAAAATAAAAATTTCGATAAAAAAAATTTATTACTTCCATCGGCGTATGATATTGGTATCTCGTATCTATTATCGATATAATTCTATTAACCATCGTTATAAATCTATTGTTTTAGGCCGATTATCGATTATCATCATAGGTTGATTATCAATAATTCAAAATAAAAAAAAAATACTGGTGATAAGAGAAAAACAAAAATATGAATCCACAAAAATGTCAATTTTTAATTTCAAATATAGGCGTTTACGATATTGATATTTCGAAATCTAGGACAATTTTTCGAACGACAGGTTTTTGATGGACAATTTTTCGAATGGACAGTTATTCGAACAGATGGTTCTTCAAACGGCCAGTTTTTCAAAGAGCCAATTGTTCGAACAGACCATTTTTCGAAAACGTTATTGGGGAATGATAAAGTGTAGGTAATTTAAACAAAAAACACTCGGTGTCGCACCTGAAATTCCATTTATTTTATTTTTTTATAAAAAAAAAATTTGAAAACGGTGTTATGTTTCCAGAATCGAAAACTAGAAATGGTTCACCTTTTGTGGTGGTTCTAAAAGAATCAGGTAGATACCAACTCATTTACACTTTTCAGCTGTGTGATTTCCATGTTTTCTTTCACTCTTTCCCTGTGTATTGTCCACTTTAAACTATTTATTTTACTTAGTTTGGCTGCTGTTAGTTTGTCCACTTCACTTGATAGTGCCGATACTAGGTAGTGTGGAGTGTTTCTTGTTGTCCTAGCATTGTCCTTCAGTTTATTCTTAAAACGTATGGCATCTACTTCTGCTGCATCCGTGGGGTAGTTGTGGAAAGTCTCTTTGCAAACATCGTCATGGCCTGTAATTGCTCGCGATTTACATTTTTTAGGCAAAATGAACTCACACTTCCAATATATTTTTTCATCAACGGCTTTGTCTTTAACGAATAAAAATCCGTTGAAAATAACTTTTTTTCACTAAATTTAATGTAAGCGTCTAAAATGGTTGGAATAATAATTTTCTGCTTATTTATTAGATGGATGGCATTTAATCTGAACCATAAAACCCTTATTTAAAAGATTACAATTTCTCAAAACTAAATTTATTATGTATTATAATACTAATTAAAATTAAATTATATAAAATAAAACCAACTTATTTGGAAAAATTGTCTATTCGAAGAATTATATATTCTAAAAATTGTCTTTTCGAATAACTGTCCATTCGAATAAATGTAATTCGAAGAACTGTCGTTTGAACAATTATCATGCGGAAAACTATCCAGATACCCATATTTCGTATATGCTGATTATTATCGTTCTAAACGGGTTATTCTTTAAGGCCGATTATCGCTAGTCCTATTATTGTCATAGGACGATTACCGATATCATTCAAAATTATTTTACCTTTTTAAATAAAAAATGTCACTGGTAAACATTTTTAGTTTTTAAATGCAAAATAAGATAAAAATCTCGATTCGATACATTTTTATTACTTCCATCGTCTGATATGCCGATATATCGGCGTTTAAGATGTCGGTATCACGTATGATTCCTATTATCGTTATAAACCGATTAACGTTATTAGACTATTATCATTATATGCCGATTATCGTAATAAGCCTATTTTCGCTACATACCGATTATCGTCATCGGCAAATTATCGAAATCAGTCAAAATTTTCATTTATCATCAACAGCATCGAGACGTTCTAAGCGATGAATTTCATTTAAAGTAGAAATATTTACAGAAACACCATCATCTACTTTAACAGTTTAAAGGTCCATACGAAGTCTTGATTACATCTAAATTACTCAAAGACGTCTCTAACGTTAATGATGATTGTGAAACATCTTCGTCAATTTTCATTGGTTCTACGCTGTCAGAAGAAAAGTCTGCAGCTACAGGTACGTTTGAAGAACAAATATACGGCTCTAAAGTTCCAGTGTTGTCTGCATTTAACAGTAAAGACGAGTCTGAAATTACTACATCATTGTCAATTCCTATAGATTCAAAAGAAACTGCAGTGTCATCTACGTGCGTCGATTCGGATGTATTTGAAGTGCGAATTACGTTTAAAGAACATATAGAATTCTCTACAACAGAACTATTGTTTGATTCCGAATCAATTTCATCTTCATCAATTTCTATTATAGATCCAGATGGTTCTAAATCTTGAGTTTCATTTAAAGAAACGTCTTCGATAATCTCGTTTACAACTACTTCTGAAGATGTAGATGGTTCTGAAACTGCAGCAACATGGAACAAGTCAACTAAATGCTGCAAAGTAACGCGACTTTTTTCCCAATGTTCAGCGTTTGAAGTCGTAGCCTGATGAATATTCTCCTCGATGGTGTTGGTTATCAGGAATTTGTGCACGAACGTTGCCCTAAAAATTAAGATCGTTTGAAAGTGATGCAAATAAATCAAAATCGAATTTTTTTTAATTGCTTTTATCCTTGTACACCAATATTTTTTACTTTTTTAGAAGGTTTTTAAACTTTTTAAAGCATTTTTTAAATTTATTTAACTTTTTGAAACACTAATTTTTGAAAAAAAATATTTTTAAAAAACTTTTAAACTTTTCTTTTTATACAGATTTTAAACTTTTTTTTTTTTGAACAAATTCGTTATAACACAAAAATAGTGACACAACTCAAAAACATAGATTTTCGAGGACATCCATTTTAAAATTTCCTGTATGGCTAATAAATATTAGTGTTCACCTTGTATTCATTAAAAAACCCTCTCTTTTGAGTTATGACGATATTCCAGAAAACAATTTCGCACCATATTGATAATTACTTTTTTAACAATATTGTCCTAATTTCACTTTTATCACAGTTAAAAATATTGTTAGTTTATTTTTAATAAAACTGGCATATTTTGATTTGTCATTTTAGCCGAAAATGTATGATCTTGTCTCATTAAGTGTCGGAGCACAAATAGATTTGTGTCACTCTTTATCATCATAAACTTTGTAGTACGGCAAGAATGACACAACTGCTTACGCGTTCATTTTTTGAAGTAGCAAAATGTCGTTTTAATACACAAAAGTGTATGAGTATTTTGCTATACGTTTTCACAATAAAATCGAAAATTGAATTTTTTTGAGTTGTGTCACTAGTATTGTGCACCAAAATTTTTTACTTTTTAAAATAAAAATTACTTTTTTGAACCGTTTTTAACTTTTTTGAAAAAAAAATTCCTTTTTAAAAACTTTTCTGTTTTGAACGTTTTTTAAACTTTTTAAAACATTTTTAAACTTTTTAAAACATTTTTAAACTTTTCAATTGGACTTCATTTTTTTTAATCAAAACTCAATAAATTTGTATTTCTTCAATATAATTCGAACATCCAACACGACTACTCGTATGTTCAAATTTAGTTCAGTTTCCAGCGCGATATTAGTCGAATAAAGTATCTTATTATTACTTTATTAATTCTAGTCTTGTTCATAACTTACTTAGTTTGTCCAATACGACTAATTCTTCCAATAGCTTGTAATTCATCTGCAGGATTCAAAACTGGTTCAACTAAGATAACATGAGTAGCTTCGACGAGATTTAAGCCCTTTGATCCTAGATTTATAGGCAGAAGAAGGACCATAATCTTCTTGGAAGGATCCTAAAAATTACTATTTTATAAAAAAAATTGCCAAGAACAAAACTAAATTTTTGGAGATTTATGTACCTAATGTATATAAAAAAGTAGAAAATAAGCTGGACATAAAGATAGTTGTCATATTGTTCCCCAAGGTTCTTCTTATTACCCGCTCTTATTAATGTATTTATTAATGAAAATAATAAAATTAATAAAAAAATGTAGATAACAAGTTACAAATACCAAATTCTTATGAGGAACCCAAATTACTTCAAATGGTAATAACTCTTAGCCTATAACAAATTGAATGCGTTATAAGGAATACGGAATTTTCAACATGGAAAATTTACCTTACCATTATGTTGAACAAGGTATAATAGGAACATGCTCATATCAGGTCTAAACCGCTGTCGCTGGTCGCGCATAAATCAGTGTCGAATGTATGTAGTGGGCGAACAGAAGTCAAAGTCGTATCCATGTTTGCTGACAGAGGTTGCTCACTGTTAGGTGCATGTTTCTAATTTTGTTCAACTCATTGTAAGGTATACTTTACGTGTTGTTCGTACCAGTACATTAAAAAAATAAAGGTTATTGAATATTTTAGAACCATTTCACTTACTTTAAAACTGGTAATCCTCGAATCCAGAGTTCCAGATTGGCCCAGCTCGCAAGAAATTGAATTTTCATTTAAAGCATTTTTTAAACTTTTCAAAATAGTTATCCAACTGGAAAACAGCAACACTTTGACATCGGGATTTTCGTCTTTCAAACCCAGTAAAACTCGTATGACTGCTTCGATTTTTGTCGAATAATTTCCCTTGATCGTTTTGGCGTCGTTGTCGTCTGTAGTGTTGCCGCCAGCTTTTATGTATGATACGTCTTGGTATTTTTGTTTATTTCGACAAATCGAGCATTGAATATGATCACCAGCTGACTAATAAAAGAAAAAATATAAATCACAATAGTGACGCAATGTAGGGTCGGTGTTTGTTTTATAAGTTTCCAGGTATACAGTGTGATTCCAAAGATGATACTTATTTTCAAACTATGTATATAAGTCATTAAAATAAACAAATTTTCAAATAATTTATAAAAAAAAAATAAAAAATTAAATAAAAAATTTAAAGAAAATAAATTAAAAATTAGGTATGGTGGCCACGCAACTGGTACATTTCGATTAATGACAGGTCCTATTTGGATTTTTGAAATCAATAAAACCCAGTATTTTTATATTTTTTTATTGTGGTCTCACACCTGTCTATTTCGACTAACGATAGGCCCGATTTGTATTTTTAATTCTATAAATCCTTATTTGAAATTTTTTGCAATATTTAGAAATGTGGAAATATAATCCCCAATTTCCCCTACGAAACTAAGAAATGAATCCCTGCATCCCCCAAGTAAAAATAAACTATTTGGATCAAATTTTGGAAAATCTACTAGACATAATTTCAAATTGACATTTATACTCAAACATCATGACCTACTTTCAGTTTTACGGAAAGCCATTAAGTTTGTTTTTAAATGGAACACACAACATAAATGATTTTTTGAATTTACGGTTTAAATTAAATACGAAAGTGTTGAAAACAGAACTCGTCACTCCTTAGTCACTAGTGAAAACTTCGCGGCTTACGGGCTCATTGAAACTTGCGAGTTACATGGTGCAATTCCAGGAATAGTGCCAAGCCAGCTGCTAGATATCTAATATCGTCCAATCAGGACTTTTGTAGATTGCTTGTTTAATTGTTAACACATGTATTATCACTCTTAATTAAACTTACAAATATAATAGTAAAATATTGTTCTTTAATAAAAATAATTTTTAAAAACGCTTTTTCGAATTCTCAAATCGTTTCTGGCGCAGTCAGTAGGATTCATGCGGGTCGTGGAAAAACATTTTCGCAGTTTTCTTGACGCGAAAAAACTTTTCGGGACTTGGGTGTTTCAACATCGAAGTGCGAATCCAAAGAATCTACCTCTTCAGTGGACAACCCCTCAGTGGGTCATCGAGGACGCAAAAACTCAAAAAAGTGAAATTAGAGTCAGAAGAGGATCAACGTACTCCAGGCGAATACTATACGTGCTAAGTGCCTATTTGCCTTTCCTTACCCTCTGATTAAGGTTTCAAAATAGACAGTTGTTAAGAATATAAGTATGTTGATTATTCATATAATAAAAATATATCTAAGGATATTACAATAACTTTATGAATGAATTGGAAGAACTGCTAAATAACTTTAATAATCTTACTATTGAAAACGATAATAATTTAAGTAACGTTTCCGGAAATAAAGAATTTTTTGTGTCAGATTTATTTGATAATTTCAAAATGACACCTCATCCGATTCGACAAACTCAACGTTCTGTTAATTGGGATCATTTTAAATTAAAAATAGATAAAGTAGAAAACATTAAACACGGTGATAACAATATTTTGAATAAATTTATTTCGCATGCGATAAGATAATAGAAACTTATTTCATACCAGAAAAACTAATAGGGAAAGCGGAGGTTTTGGTTGAAAATCGAATGGAATTAATTAATTGGGAGGTTTTAAAAAATGCTTTAAAACAAGGGTTTTCTGAGATTTAGATTGTCTTTTACAAGGCCATTCAAAAATGAAAGTTTGTTAGATTTTTGTACTCGTCTCCAATTATTAGGAAGTAACATCGTTCAACGAAACAATAACGACATTACTTTAACAAGAGATGACAAATTATGTCAAATTAATCATTGTGAAAAGACGGCACTCAATACATTTATCGCAGGCTCAACTGGAGTCCTAAGAAACAACATGCATCTCAAGAAACCAGCATCTCAAGAAACCAGCATCTCTTGAGGATGCTATGGTTTATGTAAAAGATTATTAAAATTTAAGAAAGCCGAAATTATTAAAGAAAATGGTATCCTCCTGGAAACCGACAAATGGAAGTACCATAAAAATATTGCTCGTAGACCAAAAAATAATCAAAACGAACTTTTACAGGCACAACAGGAGTATGAGGCTGTTGATGATTCTGTAATACCTGCCTGTTCGAACGCAGAAGATATAATAGGTTTGTTCCAACCAAGAGTTTTGTACCGTTTCGAAACGGTACACGAGATCGTTCAACTAGATTGTTATGCGCCAACGCTAACCTGGCACTGTCTTGTGGATGGGATCACACTCTACCGGGATGGAACGAATTTATGTACCACTTTCAGTATGCTGTTTGACAATTTCAGTTGGCAGGAAGTAGGAATTACCTAAATAGTTATCACTTTTAACTCTATTTTCATTTAGAGCAAGTTCTAAATCGTCTTCACTAGACGATAAGTCCGAGAGAAAATCATCACCTTCTCCATCACTCATAATTAAATTAGGTACTACCCAAGAACAAACACCACCAAGTATTAAACCTTAAATCCAAACAAAAAAGACATGCCTTGCTCGTTTCAGTGTACGCAGTGCGCATGTCAACCCAAGCGATACCAACTTTTAGTCTGGTATCGAAAGGACCGTAAAGAAACCGATTCCCGAACGGTCTCATGTTTGGTTGGAACGCTAACCGGACGGTATAATGAATCGTCAATTCTCGGATGGAACGGACTTTATTGTCACTGGGATTCAAGAAATGGCTTTGAGTTACGCTGCGGCCAGGCGCAGAGTCACATGGCGCTAGTTTCGTCTGACATCGGCACGTTCATTGGTTGAAGACGAAGTTTTTGACAAGCGAAGCGTGAAGTGTCAGTATTAACAATTGATAATTTTTTGATTTTTTTTTCTGCTACGAAATTTATACAATTTATTAATATTAATTTTGTTTCAGCGATATTTGTCGTGATTTGTGTTGTTGTATTAAGTGCTTACTTATTTAATATAGAAAGCAAAACGTACAACAAACTCAGAAAAAGAGGATTAAAGGAGGAATTACTATGGCTGTCATCCAAGGGTCCTTGCCTACTTTTCCAGTGGGAAAAGCCTTTAAAATTCAAGTATAACAATTTTATATTTCAGTTTTTCCTTCTTTTAATGTAGGTGCCAATTTTGGCATAAGTTTGTAATAATTTTTCATATTTTTCAGTTAATAACCTCTAATATTATAATTCAACTAAGATCTTATGCTTTCCTATAAACACGATTCAAGAAGGGATCCTATAGCTGCCATCCAAGCCCTAGATAATAGTGTTCCAGTGGCAACAGCCTTTAAAATTCAAGTATAATAATTGAATGTTTCAATTTTTCTTCTTTTTCGAAGTAGGTGTCCATTTAAAATACAAATTTTTATTTCACTTGTTGATTTTAGCATTTATATACAGTATTTGCTATTGAACACTTTCCAATACGCTTAACTAAAGAGTTAGCATTAGTGCGATCAGAAAACAAATAATATAAATGTTGCCTTGTGTGCTGTGTAATATGAACAGGCACATCCCCACGTATCCGGCTGGCTACATTCATAGTATTCCATTCCTTCTCGCACTAATGCTCTTTGTAGTTTTCACTTGGATATTAGCAAAACGTATTGTAAAACATTCGATAGCCGACACTGTATTATCACAAACATCTCTTTATAACTAATGAATGATTTAATTTAATATAGTGTTTTTTTTTTCCTGATATGGCTAGAGTTATCCTCGACTTTAGAATAAATTAAATAAGTTACATAATTTTTCAAATAAAATATTTTATACAATTTTTTTTTTTTACAAGAGCCATATTTTTTTTTCAGATCTAACCTTTTTGGATAAAAAATAAGTGATTCGCGTAAAATTGAAATAGTATATTATGCAACGATCATGTATTAATAGCCATTACATGAGAGTTGTATACACTATTTTTTCTACGACCAAGAAACTATTTCTATTCAAAACATTGCTTTATTTTTTAATACTTTTTTATACAAAAAATAATAAATAAAATATGAAAGAAAAATAAGTTCTTCGACTTAATTTTTATTCCTACACAATAACCAATATAACTATGATGACACATTTTTTTAAAAATAAGTGAGAGGTAACTATCTACCTTTTTGACTAATACAAAAGATTGAAACTCATAAAACACGAATCTCTTAGAAACTGTCAAACATTCTACAGACATAAAATATTGGGTTTGCCTACGTGTCTATTTAAAAATCTAGATTTCTATTGGTCAATTTTTCAGTTTCATAGTGTTATAATGAGTATTATTATGAAACTGAAAATTAGCATTTAATTAACAACTTAATAGTATAGGAGTAGTAAAAGTATTTACATGTTCTTTTAAATGTGTTGTTAATCCAAATGCTGCTCTTATTGTAATAGCTAATAATAAAAGAATTCGTATTATTTTTAGCTATCAAAATAAAAATGGCGCCTGGATTTACAGCTCGTTTAATGGAACATGCAATATACTTCTCAATTATTATTGCCGAGAATATATTTTAAAATTCTCGCCATTCCGCTGCTAGAAATTTACGATTTTGGCGGGAAATATATATTTCGCCTTAAAATTATATTTGAATTTACCGCCATATCGAGTTAGTTAAGCGGCCAGTCGCATTTAGCGCTGCAAACTTAGTATCTCTTTAATAAGTGAGATGCACTACTACAGGGGATATATTGTGTACCACTCTTAATTAAACCTTCAAATGTAATAGTCGTAAAATATTGTTCTTTAATAAAAATAAATAATTTTTAAAAAAGCTTTTTTGAATCCTCAAATTGTTTCTTGCATGTGAACATTCGCTGTTGTATTCATTTTCGTGTTTCACAGAAATATGCAGCGAGTCACCAATTGATTTAAAAATAAATCCTTTAGATAAAAAATTGATTTCTAAAGCGTGTTTTTAATGCAATTTTAAAACTTTAAAAAGAAGAAGCCCCGTATATACATATTGTTAAATTCTTTAAACTTTTGGACATGTTTTGAACTTTTTAACTTTGGACGTTTCATATACCAGTATATTTTTTTTTACGTTTTCATGAACAATTTTTTTGCACATTTTTTTTTAACTTAATAATGTATATATGTCTTGCGAGCCGTTTTCGACCAGTCCGGTCCTGTCTCCATTATCACTAGCTCGTCTGGCAGACCGACAACTTACGGGTTTATGATGGACAAGTAATGTAATTTTTAACAGACACGTTATTTGTGAACAAGTTGTTATTTCTGTGTGTTTATAAAATAACAGACCTGTTAAAAATAACACAGGTCGTCAATCATAACCCCCTTAAAGTTTCTAGAATTGTCCGCTGCCATCTAGAGTTTACCGGACGCAGTGACGACGGCAATACTTTCCCGTTCGAAAACCAGTGCAGTGCGTCGCATTTTTACATAAATTGTAGTTAAGTTTATAGACAGAATTTAATGAGTAAAGTTAAAGTGTCCATATAAATTAAGTGCTGATATATAAATTAGTATTTGAGTATATATAAATTAATTAAGTGTACTTATTGTGTACATAATAAGTGTACAAATAAATAAACGTCAAATTACCTGTTCCAGAAGAATTTGAATACACTCCAAACAATAACTGTGACCGCACGACAATATGCTCCAGTGCTGCTCCAAAGCATTCTTACAAATTGGACAAGGGTCGGGACTCTGACCTTCGTATTGTTGTTTTCTTAGGTTATCGAGATAACTTTGCGTTCCTAATAGTTTTTCCAATTTCACGGAATGTTGTTTGACGTCGTTGTCCAGCAACGCCATTTGATAACCAAGCTTAAAAAAATTAATGAATTTTCCTCCGGCTTCATTAAAACACTGAACTTTTATACTATTTATTTAGTTTACAAAATAGATTTACCTCATGAACGCTTAGCAAATGAATTGTTTCGGCTCTCGATTCAATTTTATAATTCAGATTTTTCAATGTAGAATTAACTTTAACGGTCTCGTTTTCCGTTTTCAATTGTAATCTGACTTTGCAAATATCTAATTCATCTTTGGCGCATATTTGTTGATCCAAAAACGTCCAGAGACGTCTTAGTTCCTGAAAACAAAGATCGATTCAGTCGGCATAATATTCTGGCCGGAACATAATAATCATACCTTAAATTCCTTTTTTATATTATCAATTATGGCTACGTGAATTTGTCCATCTTTTATAAACTCTGGTTTAGACTTTTTGGATTTCAGTACTACCAAAATAGCTAAAAAAAGTTTTGTTAATGGTTAGGGGATCATTAGGGTTTCATTTTGTAAGGCAAAAATGAAATGTAAAATTTTTGCAGACTCTGCTTACGCCCAGAGTCTCATGCCTAATTTCAAGAGTGTACAATATTTATAGAGGTTGCACAAAGTAATTAGTTTTGTAAAAATAGGTAAAATATACGATTTTTCAATGTTAATTTCTTTTTTGGAATCACTAGAAATCATATTAAAATTATATTAAAACTAAACATTAAGATTAATAGCTTTTGCTGCCCCTGTAATTATCATTTGAACCTAGTCCGGGTGAACTGTATTGAGTACCTTAAAATGGACCTTGTCCAGGAAAATGAAACACTGATGAAAAGTGCTTTTGTTTAAATAACTTACTAACGGGAACGTTTGCACTTTTTATTTACATATATACACTTCGCATTATATAAAACTGGTGTAAAACTGGTACACTAATTTTTTCCAATGTAAAACGAACTTGATTTTTAAACCAAAAATAAATGACGAGTGCCATACCTCCAGAATCTGTCCGGCCGCCTTATAATTTTTAAAAACCGGCCAAGTGCAAGTCAGACTCGCGCAAGAAAGGCTCCGCACCATCGTACAAGATTTAATACTATGTACAGGTTCTTTTTAAATACTTTATTAAGATCGGGCAAAAGAGCAAAAAAACACATGTCTATTAATTTTTAATTTATTTTTATTATTTGTTGATATAGCGGCAACAGAAATACACATTCTATGAAAATTTCCACTCTCTACCTATTAAAAGTTACTATGCACACTTTTTAAGTAGACTAAATTTGCAATTAAATGAGAATAATTTGGTTTTGGTAGGCCAAACAATTTATAAGAAACGGCTATTTAAAAGTTTGCAAAATTTCAAATAAAAAGGAAGTATTACTTTTTTTTAGTTTTCGACCATTTTTACCCCTATGGAGTGGGTATATGGGATAGTTACTTTTTTTAGTTATTAAAGTCCACCAAATTCCAAACAAAATGTGAGACCAATTATGTCAAGTTAAACCTGATAGTTCCTGAGATACAGCTGTTTAAAGTTGTTGAGGTAAGTAGGTATGTACTAGAAGGGTTTGCAAAATGAAGTACGCCCTGTTCGTGAAATAAGCATTATAATTTATTAAAATAAACATTTTACTAATTAAAACTTTAATATGAAAAATGTAATGAAACACCATATTGTATTTTATGTACAGCACAGTTGGGGAAATAGTTATTACTCGCATTTTTTGTATATTTTTGATGGACCAGGCTCGTGCTCTGAATCCACAGCAAACCTTTTGGGGACAGCTTGCTCAGAAAGGTCAGAATCGTCATTTGATGGCGTGTCATGAATGGTTCGTTAATGTCGTCACACATCAGTGGGTCAATTCTCGACTTTTATTCCCATGGGAAAATTTTATTTTCCCATGGGAATTCAGTTTTCGTATTCTCGACATAAGCGGTGGAATATTTTCCAATGAGAAGTATGGGAAAATATTCCCCTGCTTACGAGCATTGGAAATTGTGTTTTCCAATGGGAATTGTACTAGAGTTTGCGCATTAAAGTCGAAAATTTGACGAAAGACCACGCGAAAGTCTAAGAAATAACCAAAGATTATTGGATATCTTGGATTTTTAGTGAAATTGTAGTTAAAACATTTTTTTGGCGTATTTATAGATTTATATTATTTTATTTATGTAGGTATATTATTTTTAATTCTCTTTCACTAAGAAACTGTATAAACTGATTTTCCTAAATCATTTAGAAATTATGGAAGCTGCTAAGGGACTGACAAATAACACAAATTGAGTGTAGTAAATTTAATAAGACGTTTTCGAAAATTTTATTTTCGTTAATGAAAGAATTTCTTAGTTTCTCAAAACTTTCGTTGCTCTTCCATACAAAAGCTACCTTTTCTTTTTTCAACATGAGAAAAGAAAAACTAAGTATAACTCGACAAGTTTTAATTATTATACGTAATCGAATATTTTCACTTGTTCCTCGATCATGATAGCGATTGCTCGGCGGCACCTGCTCCAGCGCGGAGACTCGGCAGGTAATCGGATACCCAAAAACCACAACAAATACAAATAATTCCAACAGTAAATTTTAAAATATCTTTAATGTTATTGGTTGTTTCGAAATATTCGTGGACTTAATATCAGACATACGTGAAACTACTATTTCCATGGGAATGTCTATTCCGACACGTTCGAGAATTGCATAACCTATTACCATGGGAATAGAAGTAGTGGAATATTTTCCCATGGGAATAGTTATATTTGAGCCGTAGTGATTTTGCAAGTATGGACATATCTGGAAATAATTTCTCCAAAAGACGCATTACAGGGCCACACTGTTTTGTGGAGCAAATGTCCACTGTCTACAACTACGTGCGTATCATTCCTCTGATTCTCATTCAGACTCACAGGATTGAAGGCTGTGTAGAATCATAACTTTGTACCCTTCCTGATTCCATCTTCATTAAATAATGACATGGGAAATGGTGACAATTCATTTGTGAAAAAGTCCTTCAACTCTAAAAATAAAAACAAAACACACTATCAGTAAATATCTGCCAGACAACTAAAAAAAAAGTTGTAATACTTCCTTTTTTTTTAAATTTTGCAAACTATCTGGCCTACCAAAACCAAATTACATAATTGTTTACTTACCTCAACAAATTTGAACAGCTGCGTCTCAGGAAGTATCAGGTGCAAGTTGACATAATTGATCTCTTTTTGTTGAGAATTTGATTAACTTTAATAACTAAAAATATAACTTTTGTCAAAAACTAAAAAAAGTAATACTTCCTTTTTTTAAATTTTGCAAACTTTTAAATAGTCGTATTTTAAAAACTATTTGGCCTATCAAAACCAAATTATTCTCATTTAATTGAAAATTTAGTCTGCTTAAAAGTGTCCATCGTAACTTTTGCCGTAACGTAGGTCCTTGGCAGTAAAAATTTACCAATATCGAAAAAACTTTAATTAATTTTCAAGTATTTAACTGTGATCCGAAGGGCTTTCGAGGTGGAAAACATGGATTTGTCATTACCCATTTCATCACTACCAACTCTTAAAAAAATCAGAACTACCTATGATGTAAGGCAACACTTCTTTTTTGGTACGATTTCCACGTACTATGGTGCCTAGAGGATTACAAGAAAATAGTAATAATAATGGAGCTATGACAAGATATTGTCATAAATTCCTAATCTGACCCTGTATACGCACGCAATCAACTCGTGATCGAAGCAACGCTGGCGTGTGAAAACAGCCGGACCGCGTCTCGAAGGTACAAGAATACGACGGAATGTCTGCCGCTGATGCACTGGAAGCGACTGGAATGGCGGAGAGTGCCGCTTAGTCATAAAAAGGAATGTTCGAGAGCCTCTCGTATCTTCCAGTAGCGGAGTTGGACTAATATAAATAGCCGACGTATCAGCGCCGAGTTAATTTTATTTTATGTAGAACATTGTATTGAAAAGTTAAAGTGTAAGAAATAAATTAGAATTGTTAGTTAGTGTCTAAATATTATATAAATTAAATAGTACGTCTGAAATAAATTGTAAATAGAGTGTTTTTAAATAAATACACTTTAAATAAATTAGACTTTCGTCACAATATTTATTATTTATGTCATATTTTTCGAATTGTAATATGTATTTAAATTTTACACTCATTCATTTTACATTGAAATTACTCTTTGTTTATTAATGCTGCATTAAATTTTTAATTTTTTTATTGCATTTTATTGCTTTACAAAATGTGTATCATTACACCATATATCTACTTTTCGTTGTTGTGCTGGCAACGTTGTCTTAGAAATTATAACCAATAAAGTAGTTTAACATTGACACATTTTAAGAGATCAATTTAAACAGCTTAAAAAACTCGATTGTTCGTTATAAAAGTTGTACCAGTTTTATATGACACGAAGTGTACACTAAACGTAAATAAGAAGACAAACTTGGATATGGAAACTTACTACATCATGCTATAATTAATGAAAGAGGCGACATAAACCATAAGAATTTGCTGACCTCCGGCATGTCGGTAGATAGAGCATGACAAAATGTTCACTACATGGAACGATGCGAAGTGGCTTCTTTGTAGGGACGATGAACGATAGTTGCAGGAATCTTGCTGGTTGAAGTTACGATAGCGAATCGACGGAACGAAATGTGAGACAGTGTCGCTTACCGTTACCCACCTCATTCCACAATGGAACCTTTGCTTAGATACAGCGTGTGGACACTGGGATTGACTTTTTGACGTGAAATATTTTTAGTTCCATGATTAAGTGGGCTATGTGAAACTTCAATTAGGCTACAAAAGACAGCTAACATGCAGATAGTAAAAATAGCAGAAAATGTTCTTGTTGCGACTTGGTGATATATGCAAGAAATGAAAAATATTACAAATAAATTCGAATATATGGGAAGCAGCTTTAAAAGAGAGAAACATGAAAATTATCGTCGATAAAACTAAAGCCATGACAATAAAACTATAAAAAAAAATAACAATTACGCTAGGTGGAAAAGACATTGAACAAGTAGAAACATTCAAATAATTGGGAATAAACATACACAAAGACATGGAATAGAAGAATTTTTTTTTAGTATTTATTGTACACTATAGATTTCGATATGCTCTTTCCGAATTTCAACTTTGCTACCTCGTATTTTTGCCGCTTGCGTCGCCATATTGGAAAAAAGGCGCCTACGGGCAGTTTTTTGACAATATCTCATTTCAAGATCAAAACATTTATAGAAAAACAAAACTAGAGAAAATTTCCTACAAATAATAATCTTTTTTTTTTTGTACAATCAACAGTTTTGGCGTACGAGCGCCACAAAACTCGTTTCCACACCACCTTGAGGTAGAGTAAGCGGCGCGTTTTTTTATCGTATCCCCAGTAGGTCTAATCAGGGGCGGTTTCTCCGTTCTCCATTTTCATAAAAACACATTATTTTAAAATAAATAA